ACACACCAGATCCAAGCCTTCCATACACTTGAAGATGTCCAACTCAGTGGCAGCATTGGGTAGTTAGAGGTGGTTGGAGACAACGGATGCCAATCACAGCACTACTAAGGTTTTACAGCATGGCAGAAATAAGAAGAATGGAACTTTACCAGTTGACCATCATGGCAGCGTTATTGTCGGCAATAAATGGCAATTCTCCGGTCACTTTTAGTATGAGTAGAGGGAGGAGGTAGGTTACACAGCGAGGCATGTCCACGAGTAGTTCCAGCAAGAAGTCCCCGCAGAAGAGTCCAGGATCAGCACATCAGTGGCGGCGTGTCTGTTCCACCCCTGTCAGTGCGTACTCCACCCGTGTCAGTGCGTACTCCACCCGTATCAGTGCGTACTCCACCCGTGTCAGTGTCTGTTCCCGTGGACAGATCGGGAAGGCTTTTTCCAAGTGCAGCAAAGCCACATCTAGTACATCTGGGTAGGAAGGATTCTGCCTGCACGATGGATCACAAAGAGCAGGACACAGATTGTAACCAGGGATTAGTAAAATACAGAAATCCGATTTTGTACGGGAAAGCATCAGTCATCAATGGATTTTCTAAACCTCATCAAGGCTCTCAGCCGGGCTGTAATCACTTTTCTACGTCGTGGCTTCTCATTTGTTTCTTTCCTATGTGCAGTGGATTGTGTGCCCAGTGTATTTATTCATCATGGAAATCAAATGACAGATTCTTACGATTTTTTTTTTACTGTTTTTTTTTTTCATTTTAGGAGAATACACTGTCATGACAGCACATTTTCATTTGAAAAGAAAAATCGGCTATTTTGTTATCCAGACCTACCTGCCTTGTATAATGACAGTCATTTTATCCCAAGTGTCATTCTGGTTAAACAGAGAATCGGTTCCAGCAAGGACAGTTTTTGGTAAGTCATAGATACACTTCCTGAAAAATAATAATAATAAAAAAATCACAGTTCTTTCAGAAAGTCCTATATTTCTCTGTCATTTGGTATATTTTATGTGTAATCAATATAAATAATGACACCGGGTATTTATCTCCTAAACCCTTTGTCCAGAGGTCATTTAAATATATAGGACCACCCCAGATGTAGTTTTTGAATGTGTTGATTTACTTTATTAAAAATAGATGACTACTTTGCATAGCATAGATGTTTCACTCTATGTTTTATTTCCTGTTCTTAGTCTTTTTGCCAGACACCAGAAAAAGTTTGCAGATTAGGAGTTTTGACTATGCTTGTTGCATGCTTGTTGTGGGACAATAAATCAGAAAGCACTGAACAGAGAAGCAACTGGACAACTGGCAATTTGGTCTTGCTAAGTACTTTGCATACCGTAGATACTTTATTTGGCCCTTGTTTTCATTGTTTTCATCCAGTGATTTTTTGCTTGCGCTTGTACTCTGCAGAAAGCACTGAACAGAGAAAAAACTGTTTTTGTCGATTATGAGTTTTATTTGACTTTTTTAGTTTGTCGCGATGCTTTGTTGTTTGAGAGAGAAAAAAAATCAGAAACAACTGAACAGAGAAGCAACCAGACAACTGGCAAGTTGGTCTTTCTAACTACTTTGCATACCATAGATGTTTCACACAATTGTTTCAGGATATAAAAGTATTTTATTTGGTAGATTGCTCTGCCAATGCTTTTTTGGCTCTTGTTTTCATCCAGTATTCTTAGTACTTTGCAGACACCAGAAAAAGTTTGCAAATCAGGAGTTTTGACTTTGCCTGTTGCATGCTTGTTCTATGAAAAAAAAAAAAAATCAGAAAAGCACTGAACAGAGAAGCAACCAGACAACTGGCAAGTTTGTCCTGCTCAGGGGCGGACTGACAACTCATGGGGCCCCTGGGCAATAGGGAATCATGAGGCCCCTGTGTCCTCTCCCACACCCCAAAAAAGCCTATGAAAAAGCCAATGAAAGGTACCAGGGGCATCTTATGGGGCCCCCTACTGACCTGGGCCCTCGGGCAGTGCCCAAGTGCTCAAATGTTCAGTCTGCCCCTGGTCCTGCTAACTACTTTGCATACCATATATGTTTCATGCTATTTTTTCAGAATATAAAAGGATTTTATTTTGAAGATTGCTCTGTCAATGCTTTTTTGGTTCTTGTTTTCATCCGGTGTACTTAGTACTTTGCAGACACCAGAAAAATTTGCAGATTAGGAATTTTGCCTTAGCTTGTTGCATGCTTGCTCTGGGGAAAAAGTCAGAAAGCACTGAAGAGAGAAGCAACCAGACAACTGGCAAGGTGGTCTTACTAACTAGTTTGCATACCATATATTTCACAATATTGTTCCAGGATATAAAAGTATTTTATTTGGTAGATTGCTCTGTCAATGCTTTTTTGGCTCTTGTTTTCATCCAGTATTCTTAGTACTCTGCAGACCCCAGAAAAAGTTTGCAAATTAAGAGTTTTGACTTTGCCTGTTGCATGCTTGCTCTATGAAAAAAAAAGAAAGCAGAAAGCACTGAACAGAGAAGCAACCAGACAACTGGCAAGTTGGTCCTGCTAACTACTTTGCATACCATAGGTGTTTCATACTTTTTTCAGAATATAAAAGGATTTTATTTGGAAGATTGCTCTGTCAAAGCTTTTTTGGTTCTTGTTTTCATCCGGTGTACTTAGTACTTTGCAGACACAATAAAAAGTTTGCAGATTAGGAGTTTTGACTTTGCTTGTTGCATGCTTGCTCTGGGGAAAAAAAAGTCAGAAAGCACTGAAGAGAGAAGCAGCAGAACAACTGGCAAGGTGGTCTTACTAACTACTTTGCATTCCATTGATGTTTTACATTATTTTTTCAGAATATGAAAGGATTTTTATTTGGAGGATTTCTCTGTTAATGCTTTTTTGGCTCTAGTTTTCATCCAGTATTCTTAGTACTTTGCAGACACCAGAAAAATTTGCAGATTAGGAGTTTTAACTTTGTTGCATGCTTGTTCTATGAAAAAAAAAACATCAGAAAGCACTGAACAGAGAAGCAACCAGACAACTGCCAAGTTGGTCTTGCTAGCTACTTTGCATACCATATGCAGTATTTCACACTATTGTGTGAGGATATAGTAGTATTTTATTAGGTAGATTGCTTTGCCAATGCTTTTTTTGGCTCGTGTTTTCATCCAGTGTTTTAGTACTTTGCCAGACACCAGAAAAAGTTTGCAGATTAGGAGTTTTGACTTTGCTTTTTCCATGCTTGTTCTTTGAAAAAAAATCAGAAAGCACTGAAGAAAGAAGCAGCTGGACAAGGTGGTCTCGCTAACTACTTTGCATAACATAGATATTTTACACTATTTTTTCAGGATATAAAATTATTTTATTTAGTAGATTGCTTTGTCAGTGCTCTATATGTATTTAACTTCTGGCATGAACACTATAGAATCTTGGTGGAATTGTTTTATAGGCTACCTGTACTGAGTAACAATGGAACATTTAGTTGTTTTGGCTTTCGTTTTGAGCCATTGTTCTTAGTACTTTGGTAGACACCAGAAGAAAAAATTGTAGATCAGGAGTTTTGACTTTGCTTGTTCCAGGAAAAGAAAATCAGAAAACACTGAAGAGAGAAGCAAGTGCACAACTGGCAAGGTGGTCTTGCTAACTACCTTTCATTCATATATAATTCACACAATGTTTTCAGGCCATAAAAGGTAGATTGCTCTGCTAATGTTCTGTTTTTCAAATCTGGCACAGACACTGTAGAATCTCTATCCATTTTTTTTATAGGCTACTTATACTGAGTAACAATGGAAAATATTTTTTTTTTTGACACTGACTGTGCTGATCCTGAACTGTTCTGTCAGGCACCAGAAAAAAAGTTTACAGATTAGGAGTTTTGACTTTGCTTGTTGCATGCTTGTTCTGGGACAATAAATCAGAAAGCTCTGAACAGAGAAGCAACCAGACAACTGGCAAGGTGGTTTTGCTAACTACTTTGCATACCATAGACTATTGTTTCAGAATATAAAAAACTTTTATTTAGCAAATTGCTCTGCCAATGTGTCAGAGATGCTATAGAATGTCAGTGGATTTTTTTTACAGCCCACTTGTACTGAGAAACAATGGCAAGGTGGTCTGCAATGATAGGCTCCAGATTTCTATCAGTACTGATTTAACCCATTAACGTTGCCTCCTGGTTGCCCTTTAAGTGGGCTTGAATGCCCAGAAGGTGGCACAGCTTCTTTATCCTATGATCTCTGTGAATAACTCTCACAGCAGTCAAATTATCCGAGCCTGGCCTGCGTGTTACCAATCACAAGTTGTAACCAAGGGCTGTCACTGACAGCTTTCTCAGTGTCCTGGGAGCGCTCAGAGAGTGTGCTCTCAGCAGACAATCCCATGCTGCCATGGGCACATATGTATTTAAAAACTGGCATGGTCATCACATAACCGCTGCTGAATCTTAGTGAAATTTATTAAAGCAAGGGAAAATAATGTTTTTTTTGCTCTCAATTTGATCCATTGTTCTTAGCCCTTTGCCAGCATCCAGAAAAAAAAGTTTGCAGATCAGGAGTTTTGACTTTTCTTGAGACATGCTTGGGACAGTGAATCAGAAAGTACTGAAGAGAGAAGCAGCCAGGAAACTAGTATTTTCAAAAGGTGGTCAGCAATGACAGGCTCCAGATTTCTTGCATTACCACTTTAACCCCTTATTGCTTCCTCCTGGAAGACCTTTAAGTGGGCTATAATGTCCAGAAGGTGGCACAGCTTCTATGTTGTGTGACCACTATGATTGGCTCTCACAGTGGTCACATGATTGGGAGTGACCAAGAGCTGTCAGCAATAACTCAGTTAGTGTGCTATGAGTGAACTCTATCAGCACACAACTCCTTGCTGCCGTGAATGGATATGTGTGACTGCTGGGCATTAAAGCTCACCTTTCTTGCTGCTGCAATTACACTATATTGCCAAAAGTATTGGGACACTCCTCCAAAACATTGGATTCAGGAGGTCAAATCACCTTTATGGCCACAGGTGTATAAAATCAAACACCTAGGCATGCAGACTGCTTCTACAAACATTTGTGAAATAATGAGTGGCTCTCAGGAGCTCAGTGAATTCAAGCGTGGTACCATGATAGATTGCCACCTGTGCAATAAGTCCGTCCATGAAATTTCCTTGCTACTAAATATTCCACGGTCAACTGTTAGTGGTATTATAACAACGTGGAAGCAACTGGGAACAACAGCAACTCAGCCACAAAGTGGTAGGCCACGTAAAATGACAGAGTGGGGTCAGCGCATGCTGAAGCCCACAGTGCGCAGAAGTCGCCAACTGCCTGCAGAGTAAATAGCTAAAGACCTCCAAACTTCATGTGGCCTTCAGATTAGCACAACAACAGTCTGTAGAGAGCTTCATGGAATAAGTTTCCATGACCGAGCAGCAGCATCCTTACATCACCAGGTGCAATGCAATGAGCCAGCTGCAGTGGTATAAAGCACACCGCCACTGAATTCTAGAGCAGTGGAGACGTGTTCTCAGGAGTGATGAATCACACTTCTCTGTCTGGCAGTCTGATGGATGTGTCCGGGTTTGGGGGTTGCCAGGAAAATGGTACTTGCCTGACTGCATTGTGCCAAGTGTAAAGTTTGGTGGATGAGGGATCATGGTGTGGGGTTGTCATTCATGGATTGGGCTTGGCCCCTTAGTTTCTGTGAAGGGAACTCTTAAGGTGTAGGTATACCAAGACATTTTGGACAATTTCATGCTCCCAACTTTGTGGGAACAGTTTGGGGATGGCCCCTTCCTGTTCCAACATGACTGTGCACCAGTACACAAAGCAAAGTCCATAAAGACATGGATGAGCAAGTTTAGGGAATGGAGGAACTTGATTGGCCTGCACAGGGTCCTGACCTCAACCCGATAGAACACCTTTGGGATGAATTAGAGCGGAGACTGTGAGCCAGGCCTTCTCCTCTGACATCTCCTCACAAAAGCGCTTCTGGCAGAACGATCAAACATTCCCATAGACACACTCGTAAACCTTGCAGACAGCCTTCTCAAAAGAGTTATATTACAAAGAAAATGACAGGTGCATAAATGATGCAGTCCATGTAACAACAGGTGGATGGACAATGTTCCAGATGGGCAAGGGATAATCCAGTAAGCACTAGGGCAGGCTGTGATAGAGTGAAGCAGTACTCTGGAGTAGGAGAACAAAACAGAAGAGACACAGTGCCTCTAAGTGTAGGCTGTAGAGCAATTTATTTGTTAAAAGTAAGTGTATCAACTCACATATTAGTGCAATAAAACAGGCTCATAGGGGTAAGGTGCGGTACATCTGGCGCCAGGTAAGTATGATGTATTTAAAAATTGGACTGCGCTAAGGTCACAAATTGACTAAATACACTGTGCAATCTTTAAAGTGATAACACTGATCAAAATACAAATAAAATATTAATATTCAGTCCCAACATGTGAATAATTGATGCAACGGTGCTGTATCTTTAACAGTGATACTCCATACTGAAATGACAAGTTCTTCACTGTGTTCACACTGATGCCCCACATAGATGTAAACTCACCGTCATTTCATGACCACTTATCTCTAGGTAAGTCACACTTGCTTTTTTTGACTATCCCAGTTTGCAATCTGGTCCTGATGGTAAATATTCCTTCGCCCTTATAACCGTGGTTGCTGGTGGTAACCAATAACTTTCAACTACTGTAGATCTGCATCAATGTCAAGCAACTCCTCTCCTCTACAGGCAGTATTTCGTATTTTCAGCATAAATCAAAACAAAACTAGACATCCCATAGTGTAAAACTGTATAAAACTTTAATATGAGGTCTAGCAATAGAAATGCCACTCACAAAAAAGTGCCTTTCCTGTGAGTGGCATTTCTATTGCTAGACCCCATATTAAAGTTTTATACAGTTTTTTTTACTATGGGATGTCTGGTTTATCGACCAACTGGTTTATCACATGTTGGGACTGAATATTAATATTTTATTTGTGTTTTGCTTAGTGTTATCACTTTAAAGATTGCACAGTTTATTTAGTCGATTTGTGACCTTAGAGTGGTCAATTTTTGAAATATATAGGGTTTTGTGTTTAGAAATTCACATTTAGGACTGCTGCTATATAAGTATCTTATATATAGTTAATTCTTTCACATATACGTATATTATTAGTTTTTTAAAAATAAGTAAGTGTGATGCTCTTTAGAAGAAGAGAATCCCGGGCTGGTCAGCAGGAGATGCTCAACCTATGCCTTATTAAAGAGCGTGCTGGTCCACGACAGTTCCCACGCATGCTCTAAAACAAGTCATATCCTGATGACGTCAGACACCAATACCACCAGCTCCGGACTTCCTAGAGACCTAGCTGGCTTCACCATCTATGCCACTCCATGCAGCGCCTCCTGCTGACCGGCCCAGGAGCCTCTTCTTCTCCAGAGCATCGTACTTACTTGGCGACAGACGTACAGCACCTTAACCCTATGAGCCTGTTTTATTGCACTAAGATGTGAGTTGATACACTTACTTTTAACAAATAAATTGCTCTACAGTTTACGCTTAGAGGCGCTGTGTTGCTTCTGTTTTTAATCCCAGAAGAGTTGAAGCTGTTATAGCTGCAAAGAGTGGTCCATCTCAATATTGAACCCTATGGACTAAGATTGGGATGCCATTAAAGTTCATGTTTGTCCCAATACTTTTGCAATATAGTGTATGTTAAAAAGCCCTTTGTCAGGACTTTCTCTTTAAGCTATTAAACCTAAGGCTTTCTGCACACTGGACATTTTGATAACTCTCCTAGGCTCTTCCTCCTGGCAGCAGTGTTTTAGCAGAGAAAAAACTTGATTCTTGTAAACTAATGTAATGCATTTAGGCTCGTTTAGGCACTTCTAGGCACATTTAAGCAAACCAAGCACCTGGATGTTAATTCTTTGCATTAGCCAGAATAATAATTTATTCTGTCCATTGCATTGAATTAACACTCAACCTAAATGCACCCAGTGTTTAACGTGTGTTTAGACACGTTTATACATGTTTAAAACCGTCATGCGTTCTTCTGCCAAAAGACCGCTGCACCTGGATGCACTGACTTTGATTTTTTTTCTTCTGCCTCTGAACTCCTCTAAACATCTATATGTGCATGGAGACATAAGCTCACATGCAGAGGCATTTGAAGGAAGAAAAAAAATGCCAGATGCCCCTAACAACCACTTTAAAAACGTTCAGTGTGCATGAGGCATAAATAAAATTTTTACCATCCTGGTTTTACTGCTACAGTGTGAATAGACCTGAATAGAAATAGCTAAAATTATAAAATCAGCTAAATGAGAGGAGGGACATACTCATATATAGCCCTGTTTTGATCTTTAGTTAGATGAAACATTCAAAAAGTGAGATATCTGACAAAATCAGTGTCTTATTTAAACCACTGCTGTTAACTTTCACAGCACCAGAAACAGTGGTTTAGAGCAGTATCTGGTAGCTGTAAAGAAGAAACTGCAGGAATGATTTCAACAAGAAAGAGCTGCCTGCAAGTAATGATATACAGATAGTAACACATGCCTAATGTGCTTGATGTTATTTATTTTTTTAATCCCACCATTCAACTTCAATGATTAAATTTGATCAAAATCTGTTATAGTTTCTTTTAATTAAAACATAAACTTTAAGCTGGATATTACCTTGTTTTTAATTTGATCCACCTCACCAAGAAATAATTTCTTATAAAAAAAATGATATATATATATATATATATATATATATATATACAGTGAGGAACAGAAATATCTGAACACCCTGCGATTTTGCAAGTTCTCCCACTTAGAAATCATAGAGGGGTCTGAAATTCACGTTCTAGGTGCATTCCCACTCTGAGAGACAGAATTAAAAAAAAAATCAGGAAATCACATTGTATGATTTTTAAAGAATTTATTTGTCTTGCACTGCTGAACATAAGTATTTGAACACCTAAGAAACAGCAAGAATTCTGGCTCTCAAAGACCAGTTACTGTGCCTTTAAAAAGTCCATCTCTACTCCACTCATTAATCTAACTTAGTAGCACCTGTCTGAGCTCTTTAAAGACACCTGTCCACCCCACAGTCAGTCAGACACCAACTACTACCATGGGCAAGACCAAAGTTCTGTCAAAAGACACCAGAGACAAAATTGTGGACCTCCACAAGGCTGGAAAGGGCTACAGGGCAATTGCCATGCAGCATGGTGAAAATAGATCAACTGTTGGAGCATATGTTAGAAAATTGAAGAGGCTAAAGGCGACTGTCAGTCTCCCTTGGACTGGGGCTCCATGCAAGATCTCACCTCCTGGGGTATCACTGATAAGAAAGGTGAGGAATCAGCCCAGAACTACAAGGAAGGAGCTGGTCAATGACATTAAGAGAGCTGGGACAACAGTTTCAAAGGTCACTGTCGGTAGAACACTACGCCGTCATGGTTTCAAATCATGCATTGCATGGAAGGTTCCCCTGCTCAAGTCATCACATGTCCAGGCCCGTCTGAAGTTTGGCAATGACCATCTGGAGGATCCAGAGGAGGCATGGGAGAAAGTCATGTGGTCAGATGAGACCAAAGTAGAACGTTTTGGTCTAAACTTCACTCGTCGTGTTTGGAGGAAAAAGAAGGATGAGTTGCATCCCAAGAACACCATCCCTACTGTGAAGCACGGGGGTGGTAACATCATGCTTTGAGGGTGCTTTTCTGCGAAGGGGACAGGACGACTGCACTGTATTAAGGAGAGGATGAATGGGGCCATTTATTGTAAGATTTTGAGCAACAACCTCCTTCCCACAGTCAGAGCATTGAAGATGGGTCGTGGCTGGGTCTTCCAAACTTGACAACGACCCGAAGCACACAGCCAGGATAACCAAGGAGTGGCTCCGTAAGAAGCATATCAAGGTTCTGGAGTGGCCTAGCCAGTCTCCAGACCTAATGTGGTGGTTTATGTAAGGATTTATTCTATTTATGAAGGGCGGTGTCCCTTTCCCTTAAATGAAATATTACAGTGCCTCCAGCCGTTAAAATACGGCAAATATTTAGTAAACCAATAATTTGGACACCTTGATAATTTGATCACCACTTATTATTAGACCTTGAATTCTTTTAGCCAGTATGATTTCGTACCATACACACAAAATTTGCCTTATAATATATAAGTATAAAAATTTATTTATGTACAAAAATTACATATATATTAACACAAAACCCAAAAGACTGGTGATGATGAATACTGATACACACGATCAAAGATATACCCTACCAATTTCATACACAATATAATGTTTCTAAATAATGGAAAACAATACAAAAATTTTTCTAGATGATAATGATTAAAAATTAAATTATTTAATAACTAATAATTTCGAGTATCTCAGAGGTTATTTTCTCACAAAACGTGGCCATAGGATTGGAAGAAAGATATTCTCTGATAAATTATACTCTAATTACTAATATTTAATAATTTATAAAATATGAAAAATTTGTAAT